TATTTCATTTTTTGGTAATATTTAACTGTTTTTAATAATTTTTGTATTGTCTTTGTGATGTCTTTTGTCATAGTTGTTGTTTCTATTTTTAGGAATATTTAACTGTTTTTAATAATTTTTGTATTGTCTTTGTGTCGTCTTTTGTCGTAGTGTTGTTTCATTTTTTGGAATATTTAACTGTTTTTACTGTTTAACTTGAGGTTCTGATGATAAAACCCATTTTTGTTTTTATGAAAACACATAAGTATATGAAGTACTATGTATTATGTTTTCTCTTAGTTTCATGGGCTGTAACAGAGATTGATCTTAATATACTGTGTTTTATTCCTTAGTATTCTCAGATGGTTTAGTTTGAAATTATTATCGTGAATAAAGAGAATTCATTTTGTTTAGGTAATGCAAGCTAAAATGAATCAAATGTTTTATTCCTGATGTTGAAATGTTCACATTTTGAAAATGCTCAAGATTTGGGTCATATTTTTTAACATTCACATAGAAAAACTCTGAAATGGTCAATGTTTTCTGTAATATACATTAATATTGTTTGAAGTTAGCTTATTTTACTTGAGTAATCATTTGCAAAATACTAAGTTTCTGAAATTATTGCTTATCATTACAGCCTATATATATATATTTGTTGCTGTAATTTATTTTAAATTTTTTCATTCATTTATTAGTCTTTCAAAATCTCAATTATGATTCTAAGTACCATGAAAGTGTCTTTTAAGATATGACAGATTTCAATAAGGGAAATGTTACTTTTAGAAGCTCATGCTTGTGATGAAATGCCCTGCAGGAAAATGTATATAGTTTTGAACTACATTACAGTGAACTTACCTTCAGATATGTTCAAGTTAGTGATGTTTACAACACTTGATTATTTAGATAAAATCTGTTTGTGTACATGATAATATGACAAAATTTACTAACAGTACTTTTAAGAATAACTTGAGAAGTGTAAATTTTTTTCTCATCATATAGTCTTGACTCAATAATCTGTTAAAAAATATGTCTGTTTTGGTTTTTATTAATTTTAGAATGGAGAATTAGACTTGAAAAATATTGATCCTGAGTTTATCAAAGAGCCTGTACCTGGTAAGTGTGTTGGTTAACATGTCTAAAACTAAGTGATGAAAAAGGTTGTTTCCAATACATTCAGCAATTGTCATGTATAACTTTTGTTTGACTTTGATATCTACCAAAGAAGTTTTTTTTAATATTTTTTCAAATCTAGGTTGTGTTTGAGTTATCAGTAAACATGTATAAGACAGGAGTTTGTAAAATATTGCTTTTAAGAAACGTTTTCCAAGGAACAGCATTTCTCTTTTGTTTCAGCCTCTGTGGGTAAAAGTCAAGGGATGAGTGCTAGTGTTCAGGATGCAGACATGGCCTTTCAGGGTTTTTCCTATGCACCTCCACTGTACCTACAGAGCTGAAGTTGATGCCTGTCCTGTAGCCTGTCAGTGATGAGCCCATACAGGGTCTTTTTTTTTTTTCACTGAAACTGAAATGATCCACTTTGTGTCCAAGGTCACAAATCAGGTGCTAGTGCTGTCTTAAGCATATTGAACAAGATTATGCAATACTACACTTAACATTTGGTATAGGGTTGGTTTCAAACATATTTTATGTTACTGAGTAACAGTGGATTATTTTAGCCATATTAAAACTAAATATACATTGTTGTAATGTATAACAAGTGCTTGTTTAAAACTTTAATAGCTCATTTATCCTATTACCACAGAAAATTTATTAGAATTCACTGGAATCTTATTATACCAGAGTCTGTAATAGCACTAGTATGCTTCTAGATAAATGAGACATAACCATAAACGTTTCCTTAGCTTAAAAGGGCTAAGAAAACCAGTAGAGTTATTAAGAGGTTGTCTGTATGTATAATTTTAGAGTTAAATGTATTAAGGAATAGTAGATACTAAGGAGAAAATTAATGTTGTTTAACTCTTTATTATACGTTTTATGTGTGTACTTACATATTGGCAATGAAAGGATTAAGATGTCTTTACTCAGATTTAACTTGGTAATGTTTTATTACACTTGATATCTCTTCAAACCAAGTCTGGTTCTGAATCTAAAAGAATATTTAATTTCTTACAAAAATCTAGTATTCTTTTTGTGTGGACATAAAAGTAAACTAAATAAAACTTTCATTTCTTAAATCTTTATTACATTGGTGTTTACCATTGTTCAATTTGTATATACATCATGTTCATTGTTTGAAATAAGATGTACAGACTGGATTAGGCCAATTATGTGTTGTCCACAATAAAGTATAGTTGTCCAAACTTGAATAAACAAGTTAGTTGACTAATAAAAATTACAAATTTGGTGTTACGTCATCCTAACTCAAATACAATACTAAAAAAGCTCAGTAGTTGATAGAAAATCATGATTTTATTGATGAAATGTAAATCGTGGTGTATAATATGTCATTGCTTACTAATTTTTCCAAAACTGAACTATATTAACAACAGACAATATGAAATGGCAACATATCAAAAACCTAAATAAGTCAACTTTACCAAAACATGCAAAATGTAAATGGTGGAAACAAATGTGGCATTATTGAAATCTTGTGAGTGCCAATCTGTTATTGCATGATGTTTTGATGAACGTTTATTGGTAAACAGTGCATGTAGTGTTTCTAATCACATTCACATGGAAATCAGAACATGGAGCACGTAGACATACTACTCATAATTTACATATTACTCTGAACATGCCTATATGGGCTAGAGGCCTAGATGCCATGGGATTGGGCCATGCTACAGTTGTCCTATAGATGATATAGTAGGACATTTGAGTTGGTCAATTGTAATTTTGGTTGTTTTGGATAACCAGAAAACATTTATTTCAAACACTGATGTTAATGAACTAATGAAATTATTACTCTGAACATGCCTATATGGGCTAGAGGCCTAGATGCCATGGGATTGGGCCATGCTACAGTTGTCCTATAGATGATATAGTAGGGCATTTGAGTTGGTCAATTGTAATTTTGGTTGTTTTGGATAACCAGAAAACATTTATTTCAAACACTGATGTTAATGAACTAATGAAATTCCTTAAGAGTAAACTAATAGTAGAAATGTTAATTGATTCAACTCTCTTGATTTTATGACTGAGTAAAGACATTATAGTGTTAAATCTCCTAAGGTCCTGGTCAATGGTAGAAATACTTTTATTGGTATATTATTATAGAAGTACATATGATAAAGTTGACTAAATGACATTGGGCAACTTTTTCATTTTAGTTATAAGGTTTAGTAAACCAGAAAGACTGTCATGTAGAAAGTTTTAAAACGATGTGTAATACTTGTTTGACTTTGTGAAGTGAGATTTAAGAAAAGGAACTGTTCTTGTTTAGCATTTAAATTTCACTTTTCTTGGTACTGTTAAGGATGTACAAGTGACCGACAAGAAATAACATCCTCAGACATTTGTTGGTGATTTCTGAAACCCATTATATATTTTTATGTGGTAGAAAGTGGTATAGGATTACAATTAATATGATACTGTAACAGTTCATTTCTACACACACACACACACACACACACACACACAACTA